GAGCCGGAGGCTCTTTAAGTATAATCCCCATATATCCCTATATAGTCCCCCTAGGGAAATGCATGAAGGTGTTCATCCCCAGCTTAAGACCTGAGACTTTAGCGCATGCCAACTTCCCAAGGTCCTGGTTTGGTCGGAAGTGTTGAACAGACCTGCGGCTTAGGGTTTAAGGTTTGTTGCAACTAGGCAATTTGGAGAAGACATTGATCTGAAAGAGGCTGTTCCTGCAGAGAAACCGCTTGACGAACCGGAAGCCTTTCAAGGAGTGATAGGAGCTGTTAAACGTGACGTCCCTCAAAAGGGGGGCTTCAACGCTCACATCGTGTGGTAAGAAAACAATACTCCAGACTTTTGACTGATGCAAAGCCCCAAATCCAGATGATGCCAGATGATGCCCGTACAAAGGTAAATGCGAGACGTCGCTTCAAACAAGGCCACGTGCGGATTTCCGTAGACCAGGCAGCCCCAATGCACCCCACCAATATACTGTAATCCATATTAGGGTCTTCCAAGAAAGGTCTCTCAATTTTTGGATTGCTGGATTGGCAGGCGGTGAAAGGTTTAGGGAGCTGTCACGGCAGCCACTACGGTTGACGCGAGGACTAATCGGCGCACAGGGGTACAAGCTATCCATGCACAAGCAAACAGCTAGAATTCTCAGCAGGGTGCATGCTGCGCAGCTACCTAAACATTACATAATGGGATCCAATGCACACGGATTGCAGGTTCACAGGCGACAGTGGTCCAACCTCCTTCTGTTCAGCTCTGATGTAGCTTACGCGGTTTCTCCATCCACAAAGTGAGATCTCAACTAATTATACGGGACAGAACCACCAGCGACATCTGCAGCCCAAGTGGAATGCCACCCTTCGACGTCTGGGCCCGGGCGGTCAGTCCTGTTCAGCCTCCTCTCCTTTCAACTCTTGAACTCGACAGGCTGCGTTCTGGTTGGATCTGATGCATACATGAACTGCATGATCCGAAAAACGAGGCCGTGATAGCTTTGCATGGAGGGCAAGCCATGTTTTCTTGCAAACTTTTGCATCGATTTGAGAACCTGAGCATCTGAGGCCGTTTCGGCAATCAGAAGCCCGTGCTTGCTCAAGAGCTTTCGGACCTCTCCATCCTTTGGTGCTGCGCGCCATTCACCGTCCGAGCAATTAGATAAGAACGCAAATCGGAGCTTGTCTTCCACTTCCACCACTGTATCGCTGGGCCCTGGCAGCACCTCTAGCCTTCGGAGAGTCTTTTTGTTGTCGGTAACATTCACAAAGGTCAACATTGCTTCCGCCAGCGAAGCATTCAGATTCGAATCTAAGTACTGCAACTTGCTGAGAACCTGCTTTACCAGAGCTGTGGAGTCTCTGAGCACAAAAGGCCCGCCACCTGGGTAGACAGCTCGGGCATGGGAGCTACCAAATTTGCTGGCATCGCTTTTGTTACCTTCGCGGTGACTGGCAGGAAGAAAGCAAGATTGCCGTCATACTTGGTGAAGGCTGACACCCGGTCAGCGGCAGCGGTGAACTTCAAAGCCGTAAGGTTGGTGCGTTGCCCTGGAAAGACGGTCAATGACCCCAGCTTCTGTGCATACCAAAACTTGGCTAGGTAGGCTTGGTCACTGAAGTAGCGTAGCTCTTGGAAGAAATCTGCAGTGATCTCCAGCTTGTCATCTCTGTCGAATGAATATTCAAAGGGTTCAGCAAGCTGCACAGTTCCTTCACCGTTCTTGTGAAGCACGGCCCTTACTCTCGGGCTGACATCCGCAACTGGGTTCAGAACCACAACTTTAGCTCCGGCTGCCTTGAATTTCGGAATCGGACCGCGCGCGTGCTTGGGGACCACAATTACCGTATCCAGCCCGCAGTCTCTTGCGTGCTGAACAAGACTACAGAAATCCACATCACCTGTCAACAGTGCAACACACCTGTTCTTGCGGGGCTGCGCACATAGGCAGGCCACTTCAGTTGCTATAGCCTCATCAACCGCTTCTCCACTGATTCGGTCTCTGTCCGCGACAGGCATGAAGTGCACGCCTGGCTCGCGGAAAAATCTTTGCCATCTCTCGTTCTCAATTCGACCGGATGGGACAAAAGCTTTGTCGCTTTGACGTGGTAGCCTTCTTGCTGCAGTCGGAGCCTCGCACTCCGGATTTCGTCGATGCTGTTCGTGTCGCCGTCGACTAAGAGCTCCACTTCTGTTTGGATGTTTGGGGAAGACGCCGTGGAAAGCTCTCGTGAACTCGTCTGCTCCTCTCTAGATGTTGCAGCCAAAAATGGTACCCCGATGGAGACTCTCGAAAAAAGACACACAGAGCGGACATGCTGTGGAGATCGTATGACTGCAGACCATGCTATGTTGCCCCAGACAGACTTCCTCATCATCCACAGCACCACCCGGTCGCGATGGTCTAGTGTCTGTGAAGCACAAGCGCCAGCACGTAGGGAAGCACGCTTAGTTGTTACTTCTTTTTTGCTTACTTGTAACTTTTA